CTAATGAATCCATTTCAGTGGTAACTAGGCAAACTGAATTTTTTTCTCCTATAGGAAAGTACAACCCAAATTGTAACCAAGGAAACCAGTAATACTCCATTCCTCATTTTGTTTTGCTTTTCTCAAGCCACCAGAGGGCACAAGGTAAGAGCACCGGTGCTCTAATGGGGAAACTAATGTGGTACGGAGAAAGGGGAACTTTCCTGCAGGGCCTCGGTGGGGAACTCTATCCCGAGTTAAGCCACGTCTCCAGACCCATCTCTACGGAGGAGCTCAGCGGCTCAGCATTCGGAAAGGACGGGACCTGTTTTACTTATACCCCATCCCCTAGGGATGAAGAAAAGACAGAACACAGAGATTTCACTTAATGCAGGAGGCACTCAGGTTCATAAAAAGAGAAAACTTTAGACTAGAACCATTGATAAAGACTGAGCAAAGTTACAAAATCTCATTGCCTGATGACTGTCTACCATAAAATAAACAGATGTGGGACTCGATCCTGGAAGTCCGGGATCATGACCTGAGCTGAAGGCAGTTGCTCAACCAACTCAGCCACCCAGGCGCCCCCCACTGTGGTATTTTTTAAAAGAAAACAATTCGCGTGCTTGTTGAGGGCTGCAGACTACCACCAGTTTTGTAGAAGAGCTCTGAATTTTTACAAATTATGTATTTCATCCTTCAATAATTAGAGATTTTTCTCTTTTAATACTCTTTTAATACTATCACACCCAGGTTTACTATAATTATTATAGCAACAAGACAGATTTTCAAAAAAGTAATGTTTTGTTTAAGCTTGGAATGAAATTTTAAAAAGCATTAACAAGGGGCGCCTGGGTGGCTCAATGGGTTAAGCCTCTGCCTTCGGCTCAGGTCATGATCTCAGGGTCCTGGGATCAGAGTCCCACACTGGGCTCTCTGCTCATCAGGGAGCCTGCTTCCCTTCTCTCTCTCTGCCTACTTGTGATTTCTCTCTGTCAAATAAATAAATAAAATCTTAAAAAAAAAAAACAAAGAGTTACCATGATCCAAACACTGAAGACCAAGAGAGCTCTCACCCTTCGTGAAAACAAACTACAATGAATGAGAGCTCCTTTATGCCCACGTGCCTACACCCAGCACACCTTCCAACAGAAACCCATTTTCTACAACTCCTACTACTTTAAAGAAGAACTGCTCTGGCACTTTGACGAGTGGTGGTGTACAAAGGTCAACCAGTTCCAACTTGAAAACCCTTGCGAAAAATTTATTGTTGATTAAAAGAATAGTTGTTGTGCTGACGTGGTTAACACTATGTCAAGTAATTAAGACGTGAAAAAAGAATCCTTTGGGGAAATTACTAGGGCAAAGTAAATACTCTAGAAAAGTTTTTTTTAAGAATGAAGTTGACAGGGGCACCTGGGTGGCTCAGTGGGTTAAAGCCTCTGCCTTCCGCTCAGGTCATGATCCCAGGGTCCTGGGATCAAACCCCGAGTCGGGCTCTCTGCTTGGCGGGGAGCCTGTTTCCCCCCCCCCTCTCTCTCTCTGCCTGCCTCTCTGCCTACTTGTGATCTCTGTCTGTCAAATAAATAAATAAAATCTTAAAAAAAAAAAAAAAAAGAATGAAGTTGACAGTCATTGTTGCATGGGGGCGTCATTCCCTCTCCTTAGGCATTTTAACCCCAATTCAGGATTCACTTGTCCACAGATAGGCTCTATTCTCTCCCTCTCTCCAATCCTTTATCTATCTTCCCCCTATAAGACAACATATATTTTTTAAAGCTCTTCTGTTTCTTATCACATGGGAACCTAACGACAAACCATGTGAGATGCCTACAGACTAAAGTAAGTACGAGGTTGCCAATCAGATACACCTTCTGCACAGGACCAGCCCTTCAAACAGGCGAGGCAGACAACAAAGAACTGGGGCTCCCTGAGTTCACCTAACACACGCTACTAACATGACTAAAGTCAGCCCTATCATTTATTCATCACTGATTTCCATTTAAAGTGAATTTGCAAAAATGCTCCTGTCAGAAAAATAACTACCAAAACTCAAATTGTCATCCTGCATCAAGGACATCTCCGAATGCAAGAGTGAACGCCTCCTCCTCAGCCTGCTTCGTCCCCACACAAACTGCTGGGACACAAATCACGCAGGGAGATCGCCAGCTGCCAGCGGATCGCGCATTGTCAGACATCTCGACCCATCACTAAACGGTACAATGGGCTCCTTAAGCACTAAAGCAACACAAACTTACTAGAATATGAAGATAAATTACTGGCATTTGCCTGGTTCTGATATTAAGATCTGTGATAATTAATTTTATGTGTCAATTTGGCTGAACCACAATGCCCAGATATTTGGTCCAATATTCTGGATATTTCTGAGAAGGTGTCTTTTGGATGATTAACATTCAAATCAGTGAACGCTGAATGAAAGCAGATTGCCCTCTGTAAGGCAGGTGATTCTCATGCAATCGGCTGAAGGCTTTAATAAAACAGAGGCGACCTTGACCGAGCAAGGAAGGATTCTGCCAGCAGACATGACTCTGGAGCTGAACCCTTCCCTAAGTCTCCAGCAACTGGTCTACTCCAAACCCACATCATCACGTGAGCCTGTCCCCCAAATCATCTCTCTCTCCATCTCCACACACACACACATGCACGCACCCCATTCTGCTGTTTCTCCGGGGAACTCTGAGCAAGACATTATCCAAAAGAAAACAAGACTTTGCCTTTAAGTTTTTTAAGAAGGCACATGATTTGTTTGAAGATCAATAGTCAGTATTGACCAAATCAACGACGAGTGCTGCTAGTCAGACACCGGAGCACGGGAACTTGTTCTTCATCAGCTTCACGTAATTTTCCTAAACGCTGATAAGCGGCACTGCTTTATCCACAAAAGAGAAAAGCAATTTGTTTAAAAAAAAAAAGTGCTTGAGACTAAAAGTCAAGATTCACATTTCAATGTTTATCAGCATCTTTGCAGATGGACAAAAGTCAGTCCGCACTTACACAGACACACACGAACATGCACAGGTCCACATTCCTTAGAAAACTCGTGAAGAATAAAATAAAGGTGTAATTATTGACTGATTATCCTTAATAAATCATTACTGATCAAGCATTTGCATTACCTTTCTCAATTTCTCGTAGGAAATAACAGAGCTATAAGAAGCTATATATTTGGTCTTCAGCCCTGGTTCCTGGCACAATGCTCCTAAAACCCTTGGGATCTCCTGAGTGAAAGCGGTGTCTCTGGTCATTCGGAAGGAGCCCCTGTGGAGCACACCAGAGCTAATGAGGTGACTCAGGGCCCCTAAATGGCCTCAGGACAGGGCTGGTCCCCAGAGAGACAAGCTATTAGAGGGCTGGAATCTTCAATCACAGACACCGAGCTCCTGGAAGGGGAGAAGGGCTCCATATTAGGCTGCACTAGAAACTCGTGAGCAGTAAGAGTTGAGCTTCCAGGCTGGTGAGTGCCTCCATGTGCCAGGAGGGTGATGCACTCCAGGTCCACTGGGACAGAAGCTCCTGCACTTGCAGACTTTCCCCTACGTTACCGCTTCCTCTGGCCATCCCTCTGAATCCTCCGTAAAACCCTCTATAAGAAATTGGGGAGTCCACTAAGTGTAAATAAATGTTTCTCTGCTTTCCATGAGCCGCTCCAGTAAATTAATCATATCTGAACAGGAGGTAGCAGGAATCTGCCGTTCACAGCCAGTCACTCAGAAGTGCAGGGAACAACCCGGACTGGAGATCGGGGTCTGACGTGGGGCAGTCTTACAGGCCTGAACCCTCACCCCGTGCGGCCTGGTGCTACCTCCAGAGTGTTACGACTGAATCAAATTTATAGGCCACCCAGCCAGTGTCTACTGAGACCTGAAGACACGGGCTGAGGGGCCTGTAAATTTAAACACACACATGCACACACACACACACACACACAACTTATCAGAAGTGCTTTCATCTCAAGAAGGAGTGAACGGACAAATTTCTTCACATAAAAGAATCATCTGATCTTCAAAATGATAATTACTGAGGTTTATAAGGACTCCCACATAGGAAGTTAGCACCACAAAAGTGTCTCTATCAACACAACCTCGGTTAAGATTTGCATTTTACTGTTGCATAGCGAAAGAAGGGGAACATAGAGGAGAGAAGGACTTCCAGGTGGTAGGTGGAGACAGACACACGGATTTCTCAGGGAACCTAACAAATTTCAGTTCAGCATAGGCAGCTATCACTCTAGAAAGCCAACGCTTTTTAAGTCCACCATATCTATCTGCAGCCATGGGCCTCAAAGCGGGGTCTCCAGTTCCACAACATCAACACCACCTGCAAAGGTTCAGAAATGCATACCCTTGGGCCCCACCTCCAGACCTACTGAACCAATCCGTGGAAAAGGAAGCCAGGAATCTGTTTTAACAAGCTTTCCAGATAATTCTGATGCTCACTAAAGCCTGAGAACTAGTAACCTCCAGTAAAGTATATACCTTTTAATGTAAAACAGAACTGAATCAGGAAATTCTAGAAATTCTGAGTGGCAAAATTTTCACAATACTATGGATCACATGAAATTAATAGAATCCTTCCTTTTTACAAGTCATTTAATCAAAAATGCTTTCCCAATACTACATTACTGATAATATTTAAGATTTTTCCAATGATCTAAACTTTTCTGTCCATTCATTAAGCTGCTTTGTGCTTACCAAGATAGAACAATATCAAGAATTTTTAGGAAGGATGATGATATGCTCCCAGGCAAAACTTACAGGCTAAGTGTGCAATATTCTAAATTGTTAAGCTCTGAATGAAACTTTTTTAGTTCTTCCATCATATGGGACATAAAAGTTGTCAGTAAAAACCAAAAAAGCCAAAATGCATGTAATATTTCTACGAAGTTTTCACTTCCCTATATGAAAATTTGCCAGTGGGAACAAAATCCTGTCAAAGAGGCAACTCCTCAGCCAATTTAAGTCACATTAATTAGCATTCCTTTGTAGAGGGCAGATAAATACCTTTAAACTGCTTAATCATGCTCTGATGGTTTTCAATGGCTTCCTTTAGGATCATTTCAGGCTGGTCCATCTTCCACCGCCACTCGGTGCCCACTGGATTGGTGTGGTGCCTGAGAAGAGGAGGCAAGAGTTCTAAAGGACTCTGGAGTGACATCTCAGCGCGTCATCTACTATGTGGTAGCAGTGAAACCATAAAGTCATAACATCAGGGTTGGTTTCCCCCTAAGAGTTTAGCTATTTAGAGCAGTGTTTTCTGGCTTAGCTCATGAGCTCTAGCAGAGAAGGTTAGTTGGAGGAGTGCCTGGCTGAGACTGAGGTTTAACAGGACAGTCAGAAATGCACGACCTTTCCTCTCAGTCACCAGCCACCAGGCTAACAAGCATCCATTAAATGCTAACAGAATATTCCTGGAAGAGGTCCAAAACCACAGTAATTGACCCTCTGAGAGGCAGCCTAGCTGAACACCTAAAGCTTAGGATGGATGAGGCATGAGGAGAAAACTGTCACAGCAGCCCCCAGGCCACACGTCCAGCATTGCGTAAGGGGATGTTAAAGCCAGTGGTAGAACGAGGTTAGCACAGAAACAGCAAGTCTCAACTGGAGCCCAGCTCCAGACTCGATGAACCTCAACTCCAAAGAGAAAGGCCAAGCAGAAGGGAAAGGTGAACTGATTTCCAAACACAGAAACGCCGCACACCTCAGTCTCTAACGTAATAGATAAGAAGTCTGACTTTAAACAACAAAAAATAGGAGGCACAGAAAAACAACACATTTCCAACAAAGCAGTCAGCAGAACCAAACTCCTGACACAAGTGCTTGAAGTATGTGACGGGGAATTTTTACAACAATCATTACTATGTTAAAAGCCCTAATGGAAAAGGTGGGTAACATGGAAGATGAGATACGTAAATTCAGCAGAGATGGAAATTGTAACAAAGAAAATGTTAAATATGAAAAAACGGGCTTCTGACAGGTTCAGCAGTGACGTAACAGTAACAGCTGTAACAGCTGAGGACAAAGAGTAAAAAAAAAAAAAAACAAACTTGGAGACTGGTGCAAATCAGCCAACAAAAACACAAAGTTTTCTTTCTTAACAAAGTTTTCTTTCTTTCTTTCCCTTAAGGGAAAAAAGTGACACAGCGTCCAAGAGCTGGGGGACAACAAGAATAGGCCCAAGATGCACATACTTGGAATCCCAGAAGGAAAGCAGAGATAAAGAAGCAGAAAAAATAGTCGAAAAATAATCACTAACAGTTTTTCACACATAATGAAAAACCACCACAGATCCAAGAAGCTCACAGAACCACCAGGACATTTTAAAAATAAAAAACAACCTAAAAATACCATATCCAAATGATGAAAACAAAAGATATTGAGAAAATCTTTGAGTTAGAGGGAAAAAAGACACATTACATGAGAACGGAGATTAAAAATTACATGTGACAACTCATCAGAAAACAGCTGAAATGGCAACGACACATCTGAGAAGCGTGCCTAACGGAAACAAAACTCATCAACCAGAATTCTACACCCAGTGAGAGTATCTTTCAGAAACGGAAAATTCTGCACACAAAATCCAAGAGACTTCCTTCTCAACAACCTACATTACAAGAGATGTTAAAGGGAATTGCTCAGACTAAAGAAACATACAGTAGACAGAAACCTGAATCTGTACGAAGAAATAATGAGCACTGGGGAAAGGGGGAGGAAAAGGAAACAATATTTACCTTTTTTACCCTTAATTGCCCTAAAAATAACTGACAGTGTAAGTAAAAAAGAGTAATGATGTATTGTGTGTTCATAACTTACATAAAAGTTATGCCAACAAAAGCCAAAGATGGTCGAGGGGAATAATAAACACTGTTGTAAAATCCTGACACTACACATGCCGTGGTGTGTCATCTGAAGGTAGACTCTGGTTGACTGAAGATGTGCACTGTAAACCCCAGGAGAATCTCTAAAATACTTTAAAGGTTTATAAAAAGTAAGTCAAGACTGGGAATAAAATAAAACCATTTAAAATACTCAATTACAAGAGAGCAGGCAGGACAATGAGAAACAACACAGAGACTAGAAAACAACAAATGTAAAATTTCATCGAACCATATTGAATCAGTTTCAACACCAGTTAAAGGATATTATCAGGTTAAAACATAAGACCTGAAGAAAAAATAATGGGGGTGCCTGGGTGCCTGGGTGCTCTGTCAGTTAAGTGTCTGACTCTTGGTTTTGGCTCAGGTCATGATCTCAGCGTTGTGAGATCAAGCCCCACATCAGGCTCCATGCTCAGCCTGGAGTTGGCTTGGGGATTGTCTCTCTTGCTCCTTCCCCTACTCCCTTTCTCTTTGTCTCTCTCTAATAAATAAATAAATCTGAAAACACACACACACACACACACACACACACACACACCCTTAGACCTGACTATATGGGACCAGCATCACTCAAATACAAAAACCACATTAAGATGTTATAAAGAAAACTGCAGACCTATACCTTCCATGAACAGAGACAAAAACCTAAAAAAAGTAAAACAAATAAAGACCCTAGGCAAACTGAATGCAGGAACACATGAAAAGGAAAATGTGTCATAACCAGGTAATTTATCCCAGCAATAGCAAGGTTGGCTCAGCAGGCAAAAATCAGTCACTCTATAGAAGCATCTAATAAAATTCAACATCCATTCATGACAAAAACTTACAGCAAATTAAAAATAAAAGGGAATTTCTTTAATTTTATGAAGGGGATAAAAAAAAAAACCTCACAGCTAATGTCAGGACTTAATGGTGAAAGAATGAATATTTTCCTCTTATTATCTGAAACATTGTAAGAACGTCCTTTCTACTACTCCTAGACAACATGTAAATCCTAGTTAGTGAAATGAAGCCAGAAAAGGGAATAAAACTTTCTCTTCACAAATGACATGTTTGTCTACATAAAAATTCCAAAGAATCTACAAAAAACAGACTGGAACTAATGAGAACTAGTAAGGGAGCCTACCAAATGCCTAAGATATGTGATCAACACACAAAAATCAACTGTCTTTTTACACATAAGAATGTGTGGTATTGGCCAAAGAGAGACTCACAGATCAACAAGACAAACGAAACCAGAAACGCACCCAACATATGTTATCAACTGAGTTTTGACAAAGGCGCAAAGGCCATTCAAGGGAGAAAGAATAATCCGTTCGGGAAATGGTGCTAGAACAACCGATACCCAAAAGCTAGAACGAAAACAAAACAAAAACAAACCACTTCTGTCCCTACCTTGAACGTCCTCAGGAATAAGACAAACTGACAGCGTGCACGCCCCGGAAGGTCTGATGTACTGAGAACACTACTGCTTCACACAAAATACCCATAATCTCATTCTAATTATGAAACAATATCAAATAGATAATGAAATGATATATTGAAAATATATCAAATATATAATGAAAATATATCAAATACAAATTGAGGAACCTTCTCCAAAATACCTGATCAGTATTTTTCAAAAGTGTCAAAACCGTGAAAACAAGGAGAACTAAGGGACTGTCACAGGCGGGAGAAGACAGACACAGAGCAACTAGAAGCAACGTAGGGTACTAGAGTGGATCCTCGGTTTAGAAAGAACAGTAATGGCAAATCTGGCAAAATCTCAACATCTCCAGTTTCATTAATAGTATTTTATCTGTTGCAATTGAGAAGAAATGTTAATTTCTTGGTTATCATAACTGTCCCATCATCAAGGAAGATATTAACATAACAGGAAGGCGAATGAAGGGTATACCAGAACTCTCCACACAACCTGTCGCATAAGGAAAGGTTTTCTTCCCTTGCAACACTAACCCCCGTTGAAAACACAGGAAAGAAGTACTCATACTCAATACTGATTCACAACTTGATATAAGTTGTGTCCAAAATAGGTAATAAAAATGCAAAACATTTGTACAGTGGAGTACTAATTACACAGCCAGCTACAATAACAAAAAAAGACACTTATCTTGACAAGCACTGAGTAATGTATAAAGTTGCTGAATCACTTGGGGCACCTGGTGACTGTCGGTTAAGCCTCTGACTCTTGATTTGGGCTCAGGTCATGATCTCAGGGTTGTGAGATCAAGTCCCACTACAGGCTCCATGCTGGGTATAGTGGCCTGCTTAAATTCTCTCTCTCCTTCTCCCTCTGCCCCCTCCCCCCATGATCACACTCTAAAAAAAAAAAATTGTTGAATCATTATACTGTACACATGAAACTCATACAATACTATACGTTCATTATACTTCAATTTTAAAAAAGAAAAAAATTATATTTAAAAAAATTAAACCCAACTTGACTATGGTCTTTTGTCATTTTTTGATGCATCGTTGTTTCATTGTTTTTCGATGCTGGGCTCTGGGTTTTTTGTTTGTTTCTTTGTTTGTTTGTTTTGTTTTAGGAGGGACGGGGAGAGTGCCCGGAGTGGGGGCCCTGCAGTGTAGGCAGAGGGAGAGAAAGAATCTTAAGGAGGCTCCACCTCAGCACGGAGCCCCACACAGGGCTCCATCTCACCACCCTGACATCATGATCTGAGCTGAAATCAGGAGTCAGACACTTAACCAACTGAGCCACTCCGGTGCCCCGGACTCCGTATTTTAACGTATTGTTCAGGATTTTACACCAGTACTAATGAGTGAAACTGCACTGCAATTTTTGTTTTCCATGCTGTTCTCTGGGCTGGTATCACGGTTATAGTAGTTTCTTGAAATTATTTTACAAGTGTTCCTTTTTCCTTTGCTTTCTGGAGAACTCCTTTTCCTTGAATGTTTGCTAGAACTTACTTATAAAACCATCTACCTCTGGTTTCTTTCTGATAATGGTTTGTAACTACTGATTCCATTACTATAGTGATTACAGAAGTACTCAAAATGACATTCTTCTTGAATTACTTTTGAAAATCTAAATTTACAAGGAATTTAGAAAATGGGAACAGGCTAATGATTTCCAGGGATTAGGAGCTGGGAGGACAAAAGAGTAGGTGTAGCTATCAAGAGGTAACAAAAAGGAAAAGGTCTGTATTTTGATTGTGGTTTTAGATATGCAATTCTAAACAGATGATACAATTGTATAGAACTACACACATACA